AGCGATAGACTTGGAAATTGGTGCGAAGAGCGCCAAATACTTTTACAATTTATACAGCCTGGAAAGCCCACGCAAAATGGCTTTATAGAACGCAATAACGGCTCATTAAGAAAGGAATTATTAAATGCCTATCACTTCTTCACCCTGCAGGAAGTGAGAATAATGGCCGAGGAATGGCAGCAGGATTACAATCATGAACGACCCCATGATTCTTTGGGAAATATCCCCCCAATAGAATTTATTAATCCGTTTCCCTAGAATTACTAAAAAATAAAAAACTCTAATTCTTAGTGGCCAGAAAAAAGGGGGAGCTTACACCTGCACCTGATGTTTTTCTGATATCGGAATGTTCACCAGCAATGAACAGCCCTTTCCCGGTTCGGATATAATTTTTACAGCACCATTAAAAGACTCAGCCCTGTTACTGATATTGGTTAAACCAATACCGGGCCGTTTCTTCTTTCGGTCGAAGCCAATACCATTGTCTTTAATGATCATATGAGCATGGTTCCGGTCGGCATTTACGCTTACCGTGACCAGGCTGGCTTTGGAATGTTTTTCAATATTGTTCAGCTGTTCCTGCGCAATGCGGTACAGGGTTTCCAGGATAACCGGTGCAATATTTTGTTCCGGAAACCCAGCAGCCTCCAGCTGCACCTTCCGCTGCTGCAGGCTGTAATTGTGTGTAAGCTCTTTGAGCGTATCAATAAAACTATTTTCTTTGAATTTGGGCATCAGCATCCTGTGCGAAAGATTACGTGTCTCGGCCACAGCTTCCTGCAGGTTGTTGATGCAATCTGACAGTATTGGCGGTTTGGCTTTGCTTTTTGCCAGGTGAAAGCTCAGTTTCATCCGGATGGCCGCCAGCAGCTGGCTGATATTGTCATGCAGCTCCTGTCCCAGCTGGCTTCTTTCATTTTCCTGTCCCAGCAGCATGGCCCTGGTAATTTTTTTCTGCTCTTCTATTTTGCTTTTCAGTCTTTCTTCTTCCAGTCTGCGCAGTTCAGAAATATCAATGTGCATCACTACGGCGCCCGCCAGTTCCTTGCCTTCCAGTTGGGTAGCAATCATCCTGAACCATCTTTTTACACCGGGACTATGGCAGGGATATTCAAAAACGAATTCTTTTCTTTTGTTATCAATTACATCTTTGATGCCATTGGCTATCAAACTGCCATCTTTTGAAGATTCTCCCGTTGATTTCTTTGAAATCTCAATATAGTTTTCGCCAATGCTGTGATTGTGGCCAATAAAACCATTGTCACTCCCAAACTGCCGCCAGGCATCATTTACATCAACGATAAAACCTTTTTCATCCAGCAGCGCAATATTCGCCGGCAGCGTGTTTATTATGGCGGCCATTCTTACAGAGAGTGTATTTTTTTCTTCATAGCTTTTGCGAAGCAATTCTTCGGCTTTTTTTCTTTCCGTAATATCGCGTGCAATCTTGGAAGAACCGGTAATAACGCCTTTACTATTTTTTACGGGAGATACGGTAAGCGACACAAACACCCTGTCGCCGTTTTTTTTGGTGCGCTGTGTTTCCAGGTGCTGTACATATTCTCCATTATTTATTTTATGAAGAATGCTGTTTTCTTCATCCATTCTTTCAGGAGGCACTATCATGGAGATTGGCCGGCCAATGACTTCTTCTGCGCTGTAGCCAAACAAGGAGGCTGCGCCGGGGTTCCAGCTGGTGATAAGGCCGGTGGTGGTTTTACTGATAATGGCATCATCAGAGGAGTTAACAATAGAGGCAAACAGGGCCTGCTGTTCGGCCGCTTTTTTTCTTTCTGTAATATCTCTTCCAATGGCCATCAGCCTGCCATCGGGCATCATCTTGGTGCCAATTTCCATGTCAATATGGGTACCGTCTTTTCTTTTCAGGCGGCGGTGATCAATGGTGGCCTGGCCGGCTTTCAGTGTATCAAAATAGAGCGGCCTTTGTATAAGTTCTTCTTTATAAAATAATATTGCTACGTTCAGTTTTTTCAGTTCTTCCTGTGAGTAACCAAGATAGTTACAGGCGCTGTGGTTGCAATCCAGTATAGTTCCATCGAGGGTGTAGATGATAATTCCGTCAAATGCATGTTCTACCAGGGTGCGGTATTTTTCTTCACTTTCGGCCAGTCTTTTTGCGGCATCAGTTTTTTCCTTTTCAATGGCACGGTGCCGGAGTGCCGCATCAATGGCCGCCGGCAGCCTGGCCAACCGGTCTTTCAGTACATAGTCATCGGCACCTTGTTTAATAATGCCTGCGGCGAATTCTTCAGAGACAGTACCTGTTACCAGTATGAATGGTATATGTGGCAGTTGCTGCTGAACAATCTGCAGTGCTTCTATGGCGCTGAACTGCGGCAGGGCATTGTCTGCCAGTACAACTTCGGGCTGAAATGATGCCAACTCCTGCAGGAAGGAGTTTTTGTTACCAGTGAGTTTGAAGACATACGGCGTGTTTTCCTTTTTCAGTAAACGTTGTACAATTTCAGCATCCACGGCGCTGTCTTCCAGCATCAGTATTTTCAGGTTTTCTTGCATCTCAGTAACAGTTAATGAGGGTCTTGATTCAGTAGCAGCCAGTAAAAGCCAATATTTTTTATTGCCTGGGTAAAGCTTTCAAAATTTACCGGTTTTACAATGTAGCTGTTGGCGCCCAGCTTATAGCATTTTTGGATATCGGGATCTTCCTTGGAAGAAGTAAGCATCACTACCGGCGTGGTTTTGGTACGCTCATCTCCTTTAATCTTTTCCAGTACTTCTATGCCATTTATTTTTGGCATCTGGATGTCCAGCAGCACCAGCTTGGGTGGCGCGCCAATACTTCTGAGGCCGGCAAATTTGCCGGTGGCAAAAATAAAATCAAGCGCTTCCTCCCCATCTTTTGCATGGTAGCAGGCATTGGCCAGGTGGTGCTTTTTCAATTCCCGCAGCGTCAGTTCTGCATCGTTGATGTTGTCCTCTACCAGCAATACCTCAATTGAGTTGTGGTTCATAAACTACTGTTTATTTAATAATGTATAACTATTCCTGTTTAACCGGCAGGCAGGCTGAAATAAAAGGCAGCACCTTCATTCAGCACGCCTTCTGCCCAAACCCTGCCCCCATGTTTACTGATAATTTTTTCTACAATGGCCAGGCCAACCCCGGTGCCTTCAAATTCATCGGCAGCATGCAAACGTTGAAAAACCTTAAATAGCTTATTGCTGTATTTTTGATCAAACCCTACGCCATTGTCTTTTATCATAAAAACAAGCTGGTTCTCCTGCACAAATGATGTAATCTCTATGCGTGGAAGCTGGCGTGTACCGGAATATTTTACAGCATTGGCAATCAGGTTATACCAAACCTGCCGTAAAGCTGCTATATCTCCGTTTGCAGGATGCAGCGGGTCTATTACCCACTGGATGGATCCGCCGGCGGATTTTTGCTCCAGGTCTTCAATAATATATCCTACCATTTCATTGTTGTCTATAGGAGATTTTTCTATCTGCTGCCGGCCCATCCTGGAGAATAGCAGCAGGTCGTCTATGAGATTGCCCATTTTAAGGGTATTGTGTTTGATAACGCCGGTAATGCGTTTTGCTTCTGCATCCAGCTTGCTGGTATAGTCTTCTTCCAGTATGGCGGTAAACCCAACAATACCCCTCAGTGGTGCGCGCAGATCGTGCGAGACGGAATAGGAGAAGGCTTCCAGTTCTTCATTTATTTTTATCAGTTCCTGTGTACGCCTGGCCACTTTTTCTTCCAGTGCCGCATTTACCTGCCTTATTTTTTGCTCAACCAGTTTTCTTTCGGTAATATTATCTACCAGCGAAATAAAATATTCTTTGCCGGGGCTGTACAGTGAAACGGAAAACCATTTGTCAAGGGGCTGAACATAGGTCTCAAATTTTTCGGGCTTGCCGGATAAAACAACCCTGGTTAGCGCCCCAAGGTATTCCAGGTCCGGTTGCAGCAGATCCGGCATTACTTCAGACATGTTTTTACCGGTCACATCTGCCAGTCCGGTAAGTTGTTCATACGAGTTATTGACAGAAAGGTAGGTATAGTCCACCAATTGTTCATCTCTTAAAATTGCACGGCAGTAAGCAAAACCGTTGGTCATATTCTCAAAAAGGCTTCTGTACAATTTTTCACTTTCAATAAGCCTTGCTTCTGTTTCTTTGCGCAGGTGAATATCCTGGAAACTGCCGTAGATTCTTATACATTTCCCATTGGCAAATTCAGTTTCGCCAATACTGCGTATCCAGCGTTCATTATTTCTTGCAGTAATAATAGGCAGTTCTACATCCCATGGTCTGCCATCTTCAATGGCTTCCTTTACTTTTTGCCTTATCAGGTCCCGTCCTTCTCCTGCCTTGTAAAAATTCAGCCCCGCTTCCAACTCAGGAATGTAGTCCGGTCCGGTTTCATGAATTTCCCTGGTAATATCAGTCCAGTAAACACTCCCCTTCAGCAGGTCTACTTCCCAACCGCCGATTTTTGCCAGCGCATTGGCTTTATTCAGCAGGTTTTCCAGTTCTTTTCTTTTTGTAATATCCCGGTAATTGGCCACCAGGGCGTTTACTCCTTTTACGTCCAGCAAATTGGTAAAAGTGCCTTCAGCCCAGTAATATTCTCCCGATGCATTGGCGAACCTCACCTCATAGGGGATGGGTATGCCGGGCTTTGTTAATGCGTCATTAAATTTCTTTTTGAAATAGTCATAGTCGCCCGGGTGTGTATAGCTGAGTGCATTTTTTACCGGTCTGTCGCCTGTTATTTTGCTGCCGCCGGGACTTCTGTAAACAACGTTGGCGTCTGCGTCCAGCAGGGAAACACCTTCGGCGCTGTTTTCTATGAGTGAACGGAACCTGATTTCACTGGCCACCAGCTTTTCTTCGGCATTTACCCGCGCTGTAACATCACGGAAATTGAATACAATGGCTTCCACTGCTTCATCGTACAGCAGGTTAATCACGGTTCCTTCAACCCACAGGTAATGGCCATTTTTATGCTGGTTGCGGAAGGATACGGGCAGCGCTTTCCCCGGGTTTTCCAGCAGGTCTTTCACAACACTGCGGGCCATGGCCTGGTCATCCGGGTGGATATTTCTGGTGCCGCTTTCTCCTTTCATGTCTTGATCTGTCCACCCGGTAATACGGGTGGCAGAAGGACTTCTGTAAATGATGTTGAAGGAGGCATCCATCAGGGAGATGATATCGTTATTGTTTTCAATCAGCGTGCGGAAGCGTTTTTCACTAACGGCCAGTTTCTCTTCCGCCTGTATACGTTCCGTTACATCGCGGGAGTTGAGCACTACAGCCTTGATACTTTCATCGTGCAGCCAGTTAGTGATGGTGCCTTCTACCCATATATAATGGCCCTGTTTATGCAGGTTGCGGAACAGCGTATTAAAGGGTTTTCCGGGGTTGGCCAGTACCAAGGCGATGGTCGTCTTTAATCTTGCTGTGTCGTCCGGATGAATATTTTTAAGGGCATTGGTGCCTGTCAGTTCATCGTTAGGCCAGCCGGTCATACGGGTTGCGGCAGGACTGCGGTAAATTGTCTTGTAGGAAGCATCAATCAGGATAATTGAATCATAGTTGTACTCAATCAGCGTGCGGAAGCGTTTTTCACTGAAAGACAATTTTTGCTCCGCTTCCACTCTTTCTGTTACATCCCTGCAGTTGATGACAATGGCATTTACTGCCTCATCCTGCAGCCAGTTTACAATAACACCTTCCAGCCATATATAGTGTTCTTTTTTATGAAGGGTTCTGTATAAGGCATAGACTGGTTTACCCGGATGCGCCAGGATATCACGCATTACATCCATAGCGGCAGGTTTATCATCAGGGTGAATATTGGTGATACCATCATTGTTTGCCATTTCCTCATCAGACCAACCCGTTACGCGGCTGGCCGAGGGACTGCGGTAAAACATTTTGAAAGACGCATCCAGCAAATTGATGACATCGTAGTTATTTTCAAGCAGGGCGCGTAAGCGTTTTTCGCTTTTGTATACTTCAAGCGTCCTTGTCTTTACTTTTTCTTCCAGTTCGGTATTGTATTCAGTGAGTTGATCTTCCAGTCTTTTTCTTTCACTGATATCTTTTATAGTAAAAACAACGCCGTTGGTAACCCCATGTTTGTTTTTAACCGGGCTTGCGTTGATAGCACCAAAGAAACTGCTTCCATCTTTACGGTGGAAATTCATTTCAAACTGCCAGTATCCGTTTGCCAGGATACTGTAAAAAATCTCCTCTTCCTGTTCCCTGGAAAAATCAACAATACCAAGCTGCCGTGGTGTTTTTCCAATTGCTTCATGAGTGCTGTAACCAAACAGCGTTTCGGCACCGCGGTTCCAGCTAAACATTTTTATTTCCATTGAGACAGATGCAATGGCATCTGCCGACTGGTCTACCAGCGCCGCCAGGTAGCTTACCTGTTCTCTCAATTTTACCTGCTCAGTGATATCAATACTGACTGCCACATAGCCGGTAATTGTTCCATCTGCCGCCCTTATGGTAGTGGTGGAAGAATAAATATCTATGGTGCCGCCACTTTTTGTTTTCCTTTTTAATTCGCCTGACCAATAGTCTTCCTTTGACAATTGAGATACCGCCAGATCAATAGCGGCTTCACTGAGTGCCGTCTGTAATAACCGGTTAGACTCTTTGCCCAATGCTTCCTCCTGAGAATAGCCATACAATTTTTCAGCCCCCCTGTTCCAGCTTTGTATATACCTTTGCGCATCTACAGTGTAGATGGCATCATTGGACTGATTTATTTGTACAGAAAGCGCCTCTACCTTTTCTTCTGCTTTTTTAAGTTCAGTAATATCATTGTTTGTTTCAATCACTGCAAACGGATGACCTTTTGGATCACGTATCAGCGACCAATGACTGGACACATGTATAATGCTGCCGTCTTTGCGGCAATGTTTGATTTCGCCCTGCCAGTGATTGTTGCGGAGAAGTATCTCTTCTATGGTGGTTAACGGTTGCAGAAAAACGCTGCCAAACAGCTGGTGGGTGCTTTTCCCGACAGCTTCTTCTTTTGTCCATCCATACATTTTTTCCATTCCCCGGTTCCAGAAAATGATTTCATTTTTCATATTCCTGATCACCACGCGGGTGTTCTCAACAAGATCTGTATAGGTGCGCAGATCTGCTGCTGTTTTATTGCGCCGTATAATTTCACGTATGATAAACGAAGCGAAAGCCGCTGCCATTAAAATCACCAGCGAATAAAATATTAATACCGGCCAGAGTTTTTTGGTTACTGACAGTGCAGCGCCTGCCTCTTCCTGAACAACCACCGCCCATCCGTAACCAGGCACCTGTTCAAAAGCAGACAGGCGGGATTCACCCGCAATGGGATTGTACGTCACGGCAACGCCTTTATTACCCTGCAATGCTCTTTGTACAGCCGGTGCAGATGAATAGTCAATTACGGTGTCCTTTTCATTCAAAACCGGGCTTGCTGCGATATGTCCCGACCGGTC